CTAATTCCCCTTATACAAGGATTATTTCTTATCAATTAGAAGATGAATGACTCCATTACCCTGGCAAAAAGAGGAGGAGACAATGGGCATCCATGGTGTGTGCATCTAAAGAAGGAGAATTTTTCTGATATCCTTTTACTCTTACAGCAGCATATGGTTTGGAATACAAGATGGAAATCCAATTTTGAAATTTACGGCCTAAGCCAAATGTATATAAAGTATCTTTTAAGAACTGTCAATTTACTCTGCCACAAGCTTTTTCTGCATCTAGTGACCAAAATAGATGGGCTCATTGGTAAGAGTGAAAAGATCAGGTCTAAAATTCAGCACGTTATCTGACAGCTGCCTGTTTAATACAAATCCTATTTGATCTGTGTTTGCCACATGTAATTTATTCGCTCTTCCCTTCCAGAGGGGAAAGAGATGTGATGTGATTAGAATTGTTTTCTTTATTATTTTTAAGTACATAAGATGATGTGCTATGTATTGGTATTTGGGAATGCAAGATCAAATAAGCATGTTTTCAATTTGGCTCAAAAGGCCTGTTACACAGAACAGAAACATCCTATAAGATAACTAGAAAAATTTACCCTTTCACCTCAGTAGAGCTTCCCTGGCTGCAGAGGTGCAAGTTAGCAGATCCAGTTGCAGGACTGGAACCTAATTCTTGCCCCACATTCTTCTTTCTCCACCACCACATTTATTTCCAATATCTTGGTCCAAAAATAATAGCAGCTCTGATTGTTTATCTTCAACACTAGAGAAAATGACTTTTCTAAAACTCTGAAACTATCTAATTTTAAGAACATCTAAGTGCAGGGTGGATTGGAGGGAATCAAGAGACAAAGTAAAAATAAGAAAATATTTTAAGGGTCATTTGACAGCATTCCTTCAAGGAGGACTGGGTGGAGAGGATGGAGAGAAACTATGTTCCAGTATTCATTTAGGCTATACCTACACTATAAGCAAGGAGTCTGATTACCCTGCTGGTGTACATACATACTTGTGGTAGCTCAATGAGAGCTAGCACAAATATCAATAGCAGCGTAGCTGCAGCACAGGCACAGCTGAGACGTGCCAAGTACATATCCACTGATTTCAGGCAGGTTTGTACTCAGCTCAGTCATGCACCCGCTGCCACTACCTGCCCTCCCATGGTTACATGGCTATTTATATCCATGCTAGAACAAATAAGTACATGTACACAAGCAGAGAAATCATCCCCTTATCTTATAGTGTAGACATCACTTTAGTGTAATTAAGCTACTAATTTCTACCTATTGAAGATTTAGTAACAACCCCCACACACACAAATACACACACACACCATAGTAGTTCATGCCACACTAGTCTTGCACAAATGCATTAGTATATTAAATATTCACACAGTACTCACCTAAGGCTATGTCTACACTACAGCCTATATTGGCAAAATTTATATCGTTCAGAAGAGTGAATATTCCACACCCCGAGTGACATATGTTACACTGACATAGAGCTGTGCACACAAACACTTATGTCTGCAGGAGAACTTCTAACACCGACCTTGCTTATGCCGCTCCTGTTGGCACAGAGCATCTTCACCACACGCGCTCCATTGGTACAGCTGTACCTGTACAGCTGCACCACTGCAGCACTGTACATATAGACATGGCCTAAATAAGTACAAGAAACAAGCACGGCACTCCTTACCACAACATATCAGGCAATTCAGAAAAGAAGAACTGAATAATCATATGGCTAATAAGAACATCCACAGATACATTAGATAGCAATAGCCAAACAAGTTTGTAAGGAATATAAGCATTCTTACTTAAGGGCATATGCCAACTTCTAAAATGATGGTGAAAGGAAGAAACTTCCCTCATGGGCAGGTTATTCCATAATTGCCCACTTAACGTTTTCTTCATTTTCCTCTCAAGTATCTGGTACAGACAGATATCTGAGAACGGATCCTGAACTACACAGGCCATTGGTATAGCAATCCCTATGGGGAGGCTTTAAGTTTATCAACAACATACCAGCCAAAGCAGTGGTCCCCAAACTGAGGAACTTCAGGGGGCATGTGGCAGGACCCGGGTCAGCTCACACAGGGGGTGGGGAGGGAGTGACACCCAGCCCAGCTCTGGACCCAGCCACAGTTCTATCCCCAGCTCCACCTTCAGCCCAAGCTGAGGAAGCCTTAGCTGCTCAGTAATAGGGGGGAGGGAGAATGTGGACAGATTCCATTACTGGTAAGGGGAGGGGGGGTGCGACAGGAAAACTTTGGGCACCACTGAGCTAAAGGCTGATATGATAGACAAAGAGTCCCGACTACGGTCAAGGGTCAGCATTCAGACAGTAATCTCCTCACCCTTCCCTAACTAGTGGAAAAAAATCAATAATTTGAAATATTTAAAATTAGGCAGGACAAAATACTAGAAAGTGTACTAAAAGGGAACAATCATTTTATTAGCAGGGAGATGGACTGTATGATCTAATAGATCTTACTCCTGTGGGAATTCTGCACCACTTCGCAAGTGCTGCTTTTTTTTTCCTCTATAGAAAATATATTCTGCTGGAGAGGCACTAAAGTTACACCTTTCACCACCCAGGAGCTGCTGTGGCACCAGAACAGAGAGCAGCCTGCTCACCGGCAGTAGCAGCCAGCGATATGGAAGAGGAGAGGGTACGTTCCTCACAGTGCCCTGCCCATGGGGCCAAGTGAGGAGGAACAGGATGTGGGGGGACGGGACACAGAACGGGGTACACAGGACTGCTGGGGTGTGTGTCAAAGACCTGAGTTCACAAGGGCTAGTGGGGCAGATACACTGGGGCAGGGCTGAATGGGAGTACAGGGCCACATGGAGATGGGGTGGGGCAAAGGGTGGTTCAGTTGGGGTGCTGGACCACATGAGGATGGAGGTAAGGAGTGGCTGAGTCTGGGTGCAAGGACACATAGGGATGGGACAGAAGGGGGATGCAGGGACACATGGTGATAGGTGCAGATGTGCCTTACTGAATGGGAGAGGCTAAGGGTCAGACAAGTTCTGCATGGGAGAGGCTCCCCAACTGCCTAACAATACCTTTCCCCTAAAAAAACCCTGTTCCAAACTTCTCCCACACACACCCAACAAACCGCCAGATTCACTCCCAGGCTCATTCCCAGCAATTACTTCACTCTCCCTCAGCTCCACCATTACCCCTGACTCCTCCAAGCCTTTGCACTGCTTCTGAGAGATGCGGGCACACGTTTCTGTGTTGTAGTTTAAATGAATTATTACTCAAAGTTTTGTATTAATATGCCTAGTAGGGAATCTATTTGTCAAAAAACAGATCCTGAATATTTTTTGTTGCCTGTATTGTTACAGACATACTTGCTGACAGGTATTTTGAAATAAATTACCAAAATAATTAAAACTGGCGTGATTATATTGTGTTATTTTGATAAATAAAATACGCAGAATTTTAAAATATTGTGCACAGAATTTTTAACTTTTTTGCACAGAATTCTCCCAGGAGTAAGATCTTTTCTATCTCTAGCTTCTATAAGCATGATTGTTTCTAAACAAAAAGTAACATTTGGTGCCCTGATTCCTGCCAGTCCTTTTAAGCAGCTGACTTTAATAATAATATATGGAGATATACCTATCTCATAGAACTGGAAGGGACCTTAAAGGTCATCGAGTCCAGTCCCCTGCTTTCACTAGCAGGACCAAGTACCGTCCCTGACAGTTCCCCCCCGCCCGCCATCCCTAAATGGCCACCTCAAGGATTAAACTAACAACCCTGGGTTTAGACTTTCCTCTTGCAATGTACCTTTTTGAGTGGGAAGGGAGGAGAGACACTCGGACAGTGTGGAGCAGAAATTATACCTTGTCTAAGTGCCCTAGGACAGGAACCTTTGGGTTCTTTGACTCAGATATTTAAACTGGCACAGAAGCTTTTTCCAAGAGCATAGTTGTTTTCTTTTTACTGAATTTTTAAACACTGAAATAAAAGTAATGCTGACCTGCACTGAAGTTAATTTGCTAAAAACAAAATAAAGTTCCAAGAAGTGTTTCCACCAAATGAGGTCAAGAAAAAAGAAACAACCGTAGAAGTAGCACAAAGGAAATGAAGATTTACCACATAGAGGGTTAAGGGGTTTATTTTTAGCTGTCCAACAAGAGGTTTGCTAAAAAATGCAATGGTTGCAGTGCTAAAAGGAGACTAGTAAATAAAGTGGTAAATAAACAAAAAATGACTGAATGAGGACATTTCATCTGACAGAAAAACAATTTTCTACTAGATTTTCATATAGCTTTCAAGCTTCCTCTTTATTCAAATAAGCATGCTAAGAGGAAGTGCAAGCACTTTCATGCTTAAGAGAGATTCAGTGTTTGTAGAACTGACATCCTAATTTTTAATATGGTTACGATAGTCTCACAGATGCTGCTACACCATCTTTTGACATCAAGGTAGAACGTTTCCTCCAGACATGCCAAACCCACAAAAATAACGCAGAAATTGGGTTTGTTTTCGGCTTCATTGGCTTGTGAGTTGCTTATTGGCTAGTTTTTGGCATGTAGCTTATTGCTTGTTTTTGTTTAGCTCCGAGCAAGCAGGGGCAAGGAGGTGTGCACAGCGGGCCCAATATAGTCCCAGACTGCACGCCAGGGAGATCTAGACACATAGAGGGTTGGGGTTCTTAGGGACTGGCTCGTTTTGGCCTTATTTTGAAATGGGATTCGCTTGATTTTTAGCTTATTGTGGAAGTCAGGGTGCTTATTTACCACGTGAAAGTTGGCAACTGTGGTTTTCTCTGTGCAGCTCAAGGCCAGCTTTCTAAACACAACACTGCAGTACCCCACCGGACAGACATCTCGCCCATGCACTACCCCACAGGTCCTCCCGGGGCCCGGCCCCTACAGTGGTTTCCAGCAGCCCCCCTGGGCTCTGACCACTTGGCCCCCGCCCCCGGGTCCTACTCCGGAGCCACCCAGGCCCAACACGCCACGGGGGCCGAGCCCCCTCCTCACCTCGCGAGAGACCTCAGCATCAGGGCACCGGCACCCCCACCCCGCCGGCTCCAACCGCCCAACTCTGCTCAGCTTCCTCCCCACCTCGCCGCTATGGCAACTTGAACTAGCCGCCTTGCTACAGGGAGCGAGAGCGGCCTTCCGGGCGCCAGGGCCCCCGACGCATAGCACTGTGGGACATGTAGTCCTCAGGCGCCGACGCCGCCATCATAGGAGAAGGTTGAGTGGACTACAATTCCCGAAAGGCCTTGCGGTTGCGCTGCTGGGTCTCGCCTGAGGTGCAACTGTCCGCGCCGAAAGCCTCACCGAGGCGATGGCCAGAAGCTCAGGCCACACCCATTGCTTAAAGGACCATTCGTGAAAGGAGGTATGTGAGAACAGCAGCCTCAGCAAGACCTGATCCTGACGGTGTAACTGGAGTTAACAGGAGTGTAACTGGAAAATTATCATTAAAATAATTAAAATGCACATAAGTATTATTTTTAGTGATTAATTTCTAGAAATTTTTCAACTGCAAACACTTTTGCACTTGAGTAATTTATAACACAGCCGAGCAGTCCAGACTACTCAGCTGCATAATATAACTCATGTTTGTTAGTGGTTTCAAGATCAGGACATTGGTCAATAATCTGTTTGAGGTAAGAAAAAAATATCTTATGTGGTGTCTATGGGCTTGTCTACACTACCTGCTGGATTAGCGGGCAGCGATCGATCCAGCGGGGGTTGATTTATCACGTCTAGTATAGATGCGATAAATCAACTGCCGAGTGCTCTCCCATCGACTCCAGTACTTCACCAGAACAAGAGGCGCAAGCGGAGTCAACAGGAGAGCATCAGCTGTCGACTTACCGCAGTGAAGACACCACGGTAAGTAGATCTAAGTACGTCGACTTCAGCTACGCTATTCACGTAACTGAAGTTGCGTATCTTAGATCAACCCCGTGCTGTAGGGTAGACAAGCCCTTATTGTAGCTTATTGTACTAGATGGAATAAATCAACCGCCGCTGGATCGAGCGCTGCCCGCCGATCCAGCAGGTAGTGTAGACAAGCCCTTAATGGACTTAACAGTAGGGGGGAGTCAGGGAAGAAGACCAAAAATAAGCAGTAAGATCCTGCATTCACATAGTAACTACTGGGAAAAAAATGTATTGTGTCTGATTCATTTAGAATGTTGGGTGGTTTTGCTTGTTTTATATAAGTCCTTTGGGCGTCTTTGTTTTTAATTGTTTCTCTGTGACCACTGCTACTCTAGACTTCCAGGCCACTTCAGAGACTGTCAATTAAGCACAAGAGCCTTAAACTGTTCGGTGATTTTGTAAGGTTGCATGTCCATTGGAGCTCAATTGAGACAAAAAAATATCCAAATCCTATGACTGTTAAAAGTAATTTCATGTGGTCTTTAAAAACATGGCAAGCTGGTAAAGTTACATACAAAGACAACCATCCTGAAGCAGGTATGAATCAAAATACTCATGTGCAGCAAGGCCACACCTTACAGAAAAAAATATACAAAATACATTTTAGAGGGAAATAAATCTTAACCAATGCTGGGGTTTTTTATTCTAGTCAGGAAAGTCTGTTAGTCATCCCTTAATTCTTCCTACCTTGCCTCTTCTGAGTCAATTATCTCTTGGTTCTCTTTATACCGAGTGTAAAAAGTGCTATGAATCCCCTCAAATTATGAATTTGTGCAATAAACAGTTCAAGTACAAATATTTCTAGTTTCAGGATACAATGGCTAATACACAACATAGTCTTAAAGAGAGAAGATAGAAATCAGTATAAATGCCGAGTCATCATTATAGGAAGCTTAGCCTGGGTCTCTGAAACCTCCAATGGAAGTTACAAGAGAGGCTTAAAACTGTGCTTACATTGTAGTTTTGTGGCTTTTGTAGCTGATAGTATACCCAAAACAAAATAGTAAAATTAAGTCTTTAACAATGTTGCTAACCCCAAAATCAAAAATCATGAATCAAGACCAGAAAACACAAGATTTAAAAAAGAGGGGAAGGAAGTCTTTTGATTTCCTTTCTGAGCCTTTACAGTGCACTTGCTTCCACATTTTCAAGCTTTTATCTGCATTGGGGCTAGAAACTTCATGTAAAGAAAAAACAAAAGCAGAGATACTCTTGTAATCACAAGAATCCAGATGCTGGGACTTTAAGAAAAACACCAAATACCCCCTATGTAAATACAACCCTTTTTTCAAAGGTAGATATGGGGTAGATCAGTGGCAGCTGACTGAGCTGTAAACTATGTTCCTAAAAAGTTAAGCAGCTGTTAATTTTGCTCTCTATGTTTGCTTAATTTGCTCAAAGGCTACTTTCTACAGTAGTTGATTTTCCTTTAAACCTTCGCACTACCCTCTTCTCAAGCAATTCTCCCACTCTTCCTTCCCAACCCTCACACACATTCTTAGTTCAGGCCTGCTATTGCTAAGGCACCCTCATCCCTGTCTTAGGGAGAGAGGTCTCCCTTATATATACTCCTGCACCCATCTGAAGTGAGCCACAAGATTCCCTTTGTCATCTGATCCATTGGATAACATTTCTCTAGAGTACTCAACACGACATCTTCCATCATTCCATTGCCTTTAAGAGCCGAGCTCCAATAATGCCCATGTGGGCCGTGCTTTAGAGAAGCCAGCATGCTTTGTTCCCTTTTTTAAAAGTTCTTGCTGTCTCATTTATTGTATTCCGCATTGTAGCAACCTGCATGGAAGTTGGAGGGAGGAGTGTGGGCTGTAGGAGGAAAGAGGAAGTCAATTCTGTATGCCTATGGCTAGGATTGCTAAACTGGAGCTAGAGCAGCTCTGTAAATAGTTGATGTAATAAAGAGCCAGTTTAGTTTAATAAAAATGGAATTCCATTGTTGCCAACTCACAATGTTATCATGAGTCTCATGATAACTAGTATGTAGTCTTAAAAATCTAGCTTCTGAATTCATATGATTACATGAGAATTTTGGCTTTAATTTTAAAAAGAAAAAGAAAATTGCTAGCTATCGTGGTTGCAGAGAAAAGCTTGAAAACATGAACCCTAAATGATCAAAATCCAGAAGATCCCCAAAAATGTATTACTTTTAAAAACGTCCTTGTTTTAGGGGCCTGACTTGTGATTTTTTAGCAGTTGGGGTTGTCTACACTGGAGTCCTCTCAGAGTATTTCCAGCATATAGGACACACAATATCCCTTGTTGCTTCCAGGTGAGTTTTAAGGTATTTCTTCCTATAGTCTCCGAAAAATGGTTCATTGTCATTATCCTAAGTAAGACAACCCCAAATTGGTAGTTGCTTTACAGAATCACCATTTATTGAGTCAATCAACTGTTAGCCAATAAATATTTTGGGAAGGTTTTGTATTCTTTATGCCTATGCTAACAGTGTATAACTATTAAGCAAATTCCCAGCATGCTTTGCACTCATGCTAAGCTTACAGTAAACTCTCAATAACCTGTTTTATGTGTCTGTAGAATCTGACAGAGATGAGATGTATGTTTTGTCTTGCAAATATGATAGTGTGATTAGAGCAGCTTGGACAGCATGCTAGGGAGACGACAGATGATTCTTTTGACACTTGACCAATATGCAGTCTGTAACAAGCTACGGCTGGTGCAGGATGTCTCTAAGTTTGCTGACTTCTGGAAAACAATGTTGAAAACAAGATAAGAAACTGGTAAGAAAGGGTGGGTAAATCTTAGGTAAGCTTGTTTGTTATAAACATGCCAGGTATGTATATGAGTAGTGTGAAGCTCATAATTTCAGGATAGTATGAACGCTGCACTGCTGTCTTCCAGATTCGTAAAGTATTAACCTTTCTATAATGATGTTTTGTCTTTGACTAATAAAACCTGATTGAGCCTGCATTATCTGATGTCTCATCAATACACTAAATCAAACCCTAACAACTGAGTCTCTTCAGGATCAGGCATAAATGCACAAAAAAGGAAACCATATCCAACCATTTTCTTAGGATGTTTTTGAGTTTGAGAGAGGCCTCAGACTTTATATAAGAGCAACTGTCACCGGGGTTTTCAGCCTGGCTGCCAGCTTGAAACTGTTTCTGTTCTCCCATATTTTCCTAGCCCTTTCCCATTACAACAGAGATAGAAAACCAATGTGTTCTTTCTTAAAGTGAGTGGTAGCATAACCACCTTTTCTTGAAATTTGAGATAATTTAGTCATGTGGGGAGCACAGTTTTCAAGGACCTAGAGAAACAAAGGAATTAATTATTTCATATATTCTAGTCAGTCACTTTCTCATGTTACACCATGTTGAACAGCTCTGTGCCAAAGCAGCATCTCTACTGTAAAGTATTTTTGATAGAATAGAAATTAGCCGAGAGATTGAAGCAGGAACAGGAGGGAATTGGTGAAGGATACACATTCTCCGTTATATCTGAAAAGTTGAGCAGAGAAGGCTATCGCTCCTACCAGTTGTTCACGTGCAACAAATGGATCATTTGATGATCCACACACAGATTAACTAGACCTGATGGAGGGTCAACTGGAAACAGATGACCAAATGACCAAACTGGCTGGAAAGATATTTAAGAAGTGAGAATACAATTAGTCATTATGGTGACTGACACATAAACAAACTATTGGGATCAGAGGCACTTAGGTTCTATGGTGAAGGAGTATTTTACAAATGTCTATAATAGGTAAATATGTTTATTGATTAGACCAGGAATTGGCAACCTTTGGCACGCGGCCTGTCAGGGAAATCCGCTGGCAGGCCGGGACAGTTTGTTTACCTGCAGCATCCGCAGGTTCGGCCAATTGCAGCTCCCACTGGCCGCGGTTCGCCGTTCCAGGCCAATGGAGGCTGTGGGAAGCGGCAGCCAGCACATCCCTCAGCTCACGCTGCTTCCTGGTTTTTTTGTTTGTTTTGTTTTTTGGCAGGAATGCAGCAGTCTGGAATTTGCATTGTCAAGGATGATTTAACCAAAATAATCTCCTGAAATAAACCTCAGACTGGGTTTTTATTTCTATATCTCATGCTCCTGAGAACTCTAGTTTCAAAGACCTGGCCTTGCATTAGCTTGCCTAACATTCTGTTCTGGCCTAGAGTCTTCCTCAGCATAGCCAGGTGTATCTCAATTCCACATCTACTTCTAAATATCACTGATGGTTTTAGGGATCTGTAGGTAATGCAGTTTTTTGCAAAGTTTATTAATATTTCTATTCAAACTTAGGCAATATTATGAAAATAAAATAAAACAGCAGGTACCTGACTCCACTGTTCTCCACCCCATTGCAGAACCCCAGTAGGTGTGATGTCACCAACATAATGCATACTGGGGCACATGGAGGGCAGGCACTGGCGGTGCTAAACAGCAGGACTTATAAAATATAAGAATTTGTTATCAATTATTTGCTGGATTTTCCACCATGCCCTGACCACAGTCCTTAGGACATTAAACAAATGACTAAATCAACTGGATTTTTTTAAAGAGTTTGCAGGTCATCTTAAAAAAAAATACATCTCCAAACTTAAATCTGGATTTAGGGATAGGTATGTATACTTCAGTCAAAAAAAAAAGAAGAAATAATGTCAAAATGAACCATTTCAGCACTAACAAAATGTCTCATTTTAATTTTTCAGGATAGATTCACAGGTGGGATTTAAGCACCAAAAACACTGGTAGGGGAGTGGTGTCCCCCATCTTTATAACCTTTAGATAGGTTGTGGGAGAACCAAGTATGAATCCCCACTTTGGAGCAGGTGCTTGAACCCAAGTTGCTGCTCTCTCATGGGTGGGTACTCTAAACACCAGGCTATTAAGTATTTGGAGCAGGAGTGCTTTTTAATCTCACCTGCTAAAGCTGGTTCACTTGGTATAAAATACTTGAATAGTCATTGGGCTGGAGAGTGAGAGAATGACTTTATAGCCCAGTAGTTAGAGCACTGGGAAAGGGGAGACACTTGAGTATTCAGTGGAGCAGGGGCTGGAACACAAGTATTTATAAAAAGTGGGAAAGCTTCAAAAGGAGAGATTGAGTGACTAACTCCAGAATATCCTATAGCCTGGCGGTTAAGACGTTTACCAGGAAGAAACTTTAAGCTGAAGTCTTTGCTCTAGGTTGGGGACTTGAACCTGGATTTCCCACATCCCAGGTGAGTGCCCCAATCACTTGGCCAAAGGTTGGGGGAGGGGTAGACTGATTAATTTCCTTTATCTTAAAAATAACAATGAAGCACAAGGGGTGAGGTAATATCTTTTATTGGATCAACTTCAGTTGGTGAGAGAGACAAACGCTCAAGCTACACATAATTGCACAAAAGATATTACCTCATTTCTCCTCCCTGCCCTTGTCTCTCAAATATCCTGGGACTGACGTGGCTACAACTACACTGCATACAAAATGAAACACTTCATTTGACTGAAACTAAATTTTTCTGACTCTTATGATTCACCAAAATCCTAGAACCATAGACAGGGTCATCTAGTTTAGCCCCCTGCCATGATGCAAGATTTGTTGTGTCTAAACCATCCAAGACAGATGGCTATCTAACATCCTTCTGAAAACCTCCAATGAAGGAGCTTCCACAACCTCTCTAGGCAGTCTGTTTCATCTTCCTAACTGTAAGAACAGTAGGACAATCTTCCTGAGATTTAATGCTGTAGTTTGAACCCATTGCCTCTGTGGCAAGAGAGAACAACTTTTCTCCATTTTTTTTATGGCAGCCATTCAAGTATTTGAAGACTGCTATCTTGGCCCCCCTTAATCTCCTCTTTTCCAAACTAAACATACCCAGTTCCTTCAGCCTTTCCTCATATGGTTTGCATTCCATCCCTTTGATCATCTTTGTCACTCACCTCTGGATCCTTTCCAGTTTCTCCACCTCTTTTCTATATATTGGTAACCAAAATTGGACATAGAACTCCAGCTGAGGCCTAATCAGCACCAAGTAGAGCAGTACTGTCACCTTCCATGACTTGTATGTAAATGCTGTTCAAACTTTGCTACGTCGCTGAGCATAACCTTTTTTTGATCTGACCACCCCAGTTTCTCATGTAACTGTCTCGCCTCCGCTAACAATTCTGCGTCCGTAGGTTTACGATCGGACATGACGGCCAAGAGCCCACCCGCAAAACACAAATTGGTACCGGTGTAAGTCAGGTCTACTAAACACAGTCTCTTTTTATGAATAATTTGACTATTAAGGATAGAATTTAAAATTCTACGAGCACCCCCACCCCTGTTTTTTACAACTGTCACAACAAGGCGCAATGTCCCATCGACATGCAACTCTCTATTGCTCTGTAGCAGTTTTGAGGTCTGATTTAAGAAATCCTCAGCAGACAGCTCCTCCTTAGTTCTTTTGACCAAAAACAAAGAGTTAGTTAAATTACGGCTCTCTAAACGTAACTGAACATAATCATCAGGGTCTACCCTACCATTAATGTCATCGAGCACTAACTGTATTCCCCGGTGTATGGCTTCAACAACCTGCTGAGCTGAATTTATTTGCTCAAGATTGACAAAATGAAATTCCTCACAATACACCGACCCCCCAAATCTGGATACTTCATGTTGCCAACTTCTCACTCTCTCCATATACACCTCGGCATTTTCGGGGTTACTTGGGGGTTCCTCTACGGGATCATTAGCGGCATCTTCTACATCAGATGCTATTTGAGAGTCAGACTCTGAGGCGCCTCCATTAGGGTCATTGGGAGTAGAACGGAACTCGTCTAGAGAGCTCTCTGGGGAATTTGCTAAACCAGAGTCTGATTCCGCCTCCCCATTTTCAGACAAGCCAGTTTGAGAGCCTCCAGTAGGGGGCATCTCTTTTTGTTTTTGTTTTTTTTTCCTTATTACCTCTTTAGCCCTTTTTAAAATTTTTACAACAACCCGGGCCTGGAACTTTTTGGCAGCCATCTGTTTATCCCCCAAGCACTGTCCCCCCTTTTGTTTACACATGAGCTGATGTGTACCCTGGAGGGTGCCCCTTTTACTCAGGCCCCTTTTCACGACTAGTCATGCCTGCTCAGAACCACCCTTTCCAGCCCTTATGTTTTTCAGCATGGCTCTGAACCAAGCATCATATTTTTCCCATTTCTTTCTAGAATCCCGTTCTTTTAGACTACCCAAGGATACATCCTCCACCACTTTTCTGAGGGAAGCCTCAACCCCTTCCCAACTACTAGAATATGGGGGAGCTGTGACAAGCTTATGGTTTTGGGAGAATGGTTTGTCAGTTCTTCGTTTTTTATTCACAACCCCTAGAGCGCATGCTCCGGGTTTGTGAATGTGAGCATTTTCGCTCACAGTTTCTTCAGGGCTTGGTGTGGTGGTGGCCGCTGAGGAACTAGAGTGCTGGTTGTGTGATTGCAATACCTCAGCATCGCAGAAGCTTTTAGTCCATGTTTTTTTAAACGCAGCCCCTAGAGCGCATGCTCTGGGTTTGCGCACATTCAGAACACCTAGAGAGTGTGCTCTGGGTTTGTGAATGTGGGTGTTTTTGCTCACAGTTTCCTCAGGGCTTGGTGTGTTGGTGGCCACTAAGGAACTGGAGTTGTGGTGGCATGGTTGTTTTTTACCAGAGTCTTTTGTTTTGTCCTTGGGTTTGACGTATATGAGGTTTGGACCGCCCAGATGCTTCAGCTGCACTCTTGTGCTGTTTTGCATTGTTAAAGGTCTCAAAGCAGATTCCTGGTTCGTTGGCAGTTCTGGAGGAGATGTCCTTGTATCTCTGACTACAGCATTGTCAGAAAAGTTGCCCAGGCCTATGAGGGGGAAAAAACAACAACATTTTACAAAAACTAAACTTTACCACCTCTCTCACT